ATCTTTGTAGCCATAAATAAAAAGGAAGTATATCACATATGGAGACCTAAATTCCGGGCTCAAAAAAAATGGAAAAAATACCTCAGATCCCTTCCCCTCCTATGTAGTACTCAAGCTACATCCCGCTTCAAACCTAAAACAAAAAGGAACAAAAACAACTAATCAGATCCAAGACTATAAAAAGGAAGACTGGGGAAAAAGGTAAAGAATGTATGGATTTACATGAGCAAAGGAACTAAGGAAGTCTGAGTCTTTTTATAAGGGAAAAAAGAAAAGGAAAAAGACAGAGGGAAGAGAGAGGGGATACCTGGAGAGGATGAGAGTAGAGGAAGGAGGCAGAAGTCTTTGGAGAGAGCACGACAATAGTCTCTGACTTTGTGTAACCGTAGCAATTTTTCAGTTTCGAATAATTTGAGTGAGATCCAAAAGGGGAATCACGTGCATTTTGTGAGAGTTAAAAAATTTTTGAAAAAAAATGCTCCTAGATCCTGGCAAGTGACTGCATGCATCAGGATTCCGTTACACAATTCGATAAATTCGTCAATTTTTTACTTTTGCTCAAAATTGAATAGATTGACGACCAGATTTGCAATTCAAAATAAAATGGAGACTTGTTCTGCGCATGAGTGATAGATTAGGGACTAAAATTATAGTTTTCCCAACAAACAATCTATAATCTTCTTTGGACAGTGAAGCATACCAAGTACGAACTCCTTTTCCTACCTTCATCACCAGATTCGACCTCTCTTATAATAAATTCTCCATTTTATGTATAAGATTTGCCTTTTTAGGCTTTTTTTAGAAGGAAAAAGTTTACACTTATATACTATATAATTAATTGCACAAATTTGTAATCAAATAACAGTTGTATGTGAAAGTTGCCGACCTTGTGATCAGATTGTGTTGTTAGATTTGGAGTGGCAGTTTGTCATACCTTCTTTGACTGTGTGCATCTTTCATTGTATTGCTTCTGTTGTTTATTGGTTAATGAACAGTATGAACGACTACAAATAAAGAGAGATTCTTTTGTGTTAGGCCCTCTTTTTTTGAACCATTATAAAAGTTTCCTTCTGTGAAGTTCAAGATGTGCTTTTAAAGTTAGGGCGGACCGGACCGGCCGGTCGGACTGGTTGGACCGGAAACCAGCCAGGCATTTGGTCCGAATTATTCTACAAAACCAGACAATTAAAAACTCAATCAAACCAGTCAAAATCGGGTTTGAACGGGAAAAAACGGAAGAATTGGTTCGGTCAAAGTTTTTTTAAAAAAAGGTCAAATATTTTTAATATTATCTTTTGACCCCTAAGTTGTTAAAAATTATTAATATGCCTCAAATATTTCATACTTTATAAATGTTGTCCTAAAATTTGATATTATTTTTCAATTAGGTCAATAATTTTAATTATAAACTTGTTAATGTTCATTAAATAATATAAATTGCTACTTGATTGTTCTAATTTCTTTATATTTTCTTGTTAAATATATTTAAAACATCAAATATATATGAATATACTTTTATTAATATTAACACGCTCTTAGGTATTTTACCTACAATATTTTAATTTTTAAATAAATTTTATTTATGACATCATCCAGTTCAACTCCGATCAAATCCGATCGAATCCATTGATCCCTGACCCCTGAGCTCGACTGAGTCAATGCTCGGTTTGATTCTGAAAACATAGAGTTCAAGGCTATGTAGTGTCTATTGTATCTCATTTAATGTTATACTTAGTGAAAGACGTATACAAATTGATTGATGTATTCATAGACTTAGATGTGTACTTGCACCATTGGCTTTAGATTACCACTAAATTTTAACGTCCTCTAATATGTACTGTTAGCTATAGATTTTGAGTTTTACTTTGTCGATTCCTAAAGTTGAGTTCTCTTTGATTTTTTAAATGTTCAGCATGTTTAATCTAACCCTACTTTGAGGTTTTTCTTTCCTTTAAATTTTAGCAAAATAACTTGTTATAAATATCTTAGTATACCACAATACTATTGTGAACCTATTCTTACATGCTAAATTAAGCAGAAGTCTGCAATAATCAGATTTCATACAAAAGAAAGAACTATCTATTGTTACCTTTTTTTTCTTCTTTTTCTCCTCCATTAGAGGTGGTATGGAAATTGATTGCTGGCTGGACTTTTCTTACACTATCTTCTCATTCTACTCTCTAGGGCCTGTTTGGAACCTGAGTTTTTTGGGAGTTTGTCTAAAACTTTACTGTAGTGCACTGTAGAAGTTTTTGAAAAAATTTTGTAGAAGTTTTTGTTAGGTGAAAAATTTTGTAAAAGTTTTTGTAAGGTGAAAAACTTTTTTTTTTCTTTTTTTTTCCTTTTCTTTTTTTTTCTTTCCCTTTCTTTTTCTTTTTCTTTTTCTTTTTCTTTCTTTCCTTTTTCTTTTCTTTCCTCTCTAATCTCTTCATTCATTTCGTTCTTCTGTCGCTATCCCGTACCCTCCACCACCCGCAGCTGCAAACTCCAGCCTCCCGCTGTCGCCCCTCTGCAGCCTTTCCCCGTTAGTCGAGGAAATAATAGTAGAAACAGTGGCAAAAATGGGACTGGTGGGATTGTTGGTCATAGACAATACAACTCAAATCAACGAATCTGTTATCATTGTAAGAAATCAGGTCATGTTATCATTGTAAGAAATCAAGTCATACCATACGTACGTGTTGGGACCTTCATCGTATACCTCAACAGCATCCCCCGTTTGCAAATTTCGCAACCCAGGAAAACAGTTATGTGTCTTCTGACAAATCCATACTCATCTCTGCTGATGAGTTTGCCCGCTTCACTAAGTTTCAGGTCTCATAAAAGTCTGCTAACCCATCTTCTAGTACCAATTCTCATTCTATTGATCACTCAGGTAAATCTACTACATGCCTTGTATCATCTTCTAACAAATGGGTCATCGATTCTGGTGTAACAAATTATATGACAGGTAATAAAGGTATCCTCTCCTCTTTTAATTTTAACAAAGATCATCTTAATGTTACTTTGACTGATGGGTCATATGCTTTAGTTGTGAGTTCTGGTGTAGCAATTCCTATGTCATCTACTCCCTCCGTCCCGAAATGAATGTCGCACTTCGGGTCCTGAGTTTCTTTTCAATAGTGTCGTATTTTGGTTTAAGTTCCAGCGCTACCCCTTCCGTGCATTATTCCATTGAGTGGCAGAAAGAAAAAGCAAGGATGACAAGATGTGTGGGACCCATACTTTACAAATGTGTCCAGCCATTTTTTTGAGAAAGTAGCTTGCACGGCCATTGTTTGCATTTGCGGTGAGACTCACGCATATTAGAGTAACTCTTGTAGTTTTATGAGACCCATCAAAAACTTAAAAGGAATCTGGTATATTTAAGGGCATGAGATGGAAATGAGGGAAAGTTTTATTGCCAATTATAGTAAGTGACATTAATTTTGGGACAGACCAAAAAGGAAAGCATGACACTTTCAATGGGACGGAGGGAGTATTTCCTTATGTTCAGTCTTATGCTTACCTAATTTTTCTTTTAATCTACTCTCAGTTAATAAAATTATAAAAATTCTCAAGTGCCCTGTCTCATTCTTTCCTAAATATTGTATTTTTTAGGGTCTTATGACGGGGAAGATTATTGGTAAAGGACGTGAGTCTGGCGGCCTGTATACACTTGAAACCCCTTCAATGAAAGTGTCGAAACTTATTGCATGTTCCTCCACCTTGACTCCGCTTGAAATTCACTGTCGTTTGGGTCATCCATCTTTACCCACTTTGAAGAAAATGTTTCCAAGTTTTCAAAATTTATCCCATTTAGATTGTGAGTCATGCCAATTTGCCAAGTATCATCGTTTGCCTTATTTGCCTAGAGTCAATAAATGGGTTACATCCCCTTTTGAATTAGTGCACTTTGATATACGGGGACCTTATCCAATAGTATCTAAGTTTGATATTAAGTATTTTGTCACTTTTGTTGATAACTACTCTCGTGTTATTTGGTTATATTTAATGAGAAGTCGTTCAGATTTATTTAGTATCTTTTGTTGAAATAAAAACACAATTCAATGTGTCTGTTCGCATTTTGCAAAATGATAATGCAAAAGAGTATTTTTCTAAACCCTTTAATTCATATATATCAGAAAATGAAATCTTTCACTAATTTTCATGTCTTGACACACCACCACAAAATGGTGTTGCTGAAAGGAAAAATAGGCACTTATTAGAAATTGTTAGAGCCCTCCTATTTCATATGAAGGTTCCTAAGCAATTTTGGGCAGATGCTGTTTCAACAGCCTATTTTTTAATTAATCGTAAGCCAACTTCTGTGCTTGCTGGTGAGATTCCTTATTCAATTTTGTTTCCAACCCAATCTTTATTTCCCATTGAGTCATGTATATTTAGGTATACTTGTTTTGTTTATGCTACCCGTCCTCAGGTGTTTAAATTAGATATCAAATATCTCAAGTGTATGTTTTTGGGCTATTCGCGTCTTTAAAAAAAATTAGATATCAAATATCTCAAGTGTATGTTTTTGGGCTATTCACGTCTTTAAAAAGGGCATAGATGTTACTCTCTAATTTTAGATCGTTATTTAATCTTCGTTGATGTTACATTTTTTGAGATACATCTATTTTTTCTTGAATCTAATGTTTACAGTAGTAAGGGGGAGGAAGATAATATTCTAGTCTACATTGTTACAACAACTGTTTCTACAAGACCACCAATCACTCAAGTATATTCTCGTAGTTCTCAACATATAGACTCACATCCTCTACCACCTTCTCTGTCTACAGAATCCGAATCTTGATCAACCGCTTCTTCAGTTTCCAGATTTCAATCTTGATTTGTCTATTGCTTTAAGAAAAGGTAAAAGACAGTGAACTTACCCAGTTTTATTATTTGTTTCATATGACCATTTGTCTCCCTCCTTGCGTTGTTTTACTGCTTCTTTAGATTCAATGTCTCTTCTTCAACAGTTATCTGAGACTTTGGAATATCCTGGTTGGTAGGCTTTTATGGAGGAAGAAATGATGGCTCTAGACAATAATGGCACCTGGGACTTGGTTCAGTTATCAACAGGTAAGAAACCTATTAGTTGTAAATGGGTGTTTGCTATTAAAGTCAATCCTGATGGTTCTGTTGTTCGCCTCAAAGTTCGTCTTGTTACAAAAGCGTATGTTCAGACATATGGGTGGATTACTCAAACACATTTTCTTCTGTAGCAAAACTCACCTCTGTTCGATTATTTATTTCCCTTACTGCTACTAATAATCGGTCTTTATACCAGTTAGATGTTAAGAATGCATTCCTTCATGGAGATTTACAAGAGAAAATTTATATGAAACAACCACCTGGATTTGTTGCTCAGGGGGAGTCTGGTAAGGTTTGTTAACTCCGAAAGTCATTATATAGCTTAAAACAGAGTTCTCGTACTTGGTTAGGAAGATCCAGTGAGATAGTTCAAGAGTTTGGTATGAAAAAGTATAATTTTGATCATTCTGTCTTTTATCAATAATCTGAAATTGGTATTATTCTATTAATTATTTATATTAATGATATTGTTATTATTGGTAGTAACAATGCAGGTATTGCAACTCTTAAAAATTTTCTTCAATCGTGCTTCCAGACAAAAGATTTGGGCATGTTGAAATACTTTTTAAGTATTGAGGTTACAAGGTGTAAACAAGATATCTTTTTATGCCAAAGGAAGTATGTCCTTCATCATTTGAAAGCAACAGAAAAGCTAGGTGCTAAGCCATGTAGTGTACCAATGATCCCCAACATGCAACTTACAGCAGATGATAGGGAGTTATTCTCAAATTCTGAAATATACCAGAGATTAGTGGGGAAGTTGAATTATCTTACTGTGACTCATCCGGACATTGCATATCCGGTTAGTATTGTGAGTCAATTTATGTCCTCCCCAAGAACCACCTATTAGGCAGTTTTAGAGCAAATCTTATGTTCCTTAAAGGAGCTCCAAGACGTGGTATACTATATGGTAATCATGGTCATTCTCATTTTGAATGCTTCTCAGATGCGGATTGGGCAGGTTCTAAAATTGATCGAAAATCTACAACTAGATATTGTGTCATCATTGGAAGTAATTTGGTATTATGAAAAAATAAGAAACAAAATGTCGTATCTCGCTCTAATGCAGAGTCTGAATACCGGTCTATGGCACAATCCACTTGTGAGTTTATATGGATACATCAATTATTGTATGAGGTGGGAATCAATAATTCACTTCCAATAAAATTATGATATGACAATCAAGCTGCCCTTCATATAGTATCAAATCCAGTTTTTCATGAGAGAACAAAGCACATTGAAATTGATTGTCACTTTGTTCATGAAAGAATTCAGTAAAACCTGATCTCAACCAGTCATATGAGAACTGGAGAGCAGTTTGCTGATATTTTCACTAAACCTCTAAATGGTCCGAAAATTGGTTATATTTGTGACAAGATGGGCATGATTAATATCTAAATTCCATCTTGAGGGGGAGTGTTGAAAATATGTGATCTGATATTATAGAAATCATAAATATATGATTTGATTTAATATTGTAGATATTAGAAAAGATTTGATTTGATTTGATTTGATTTGCTTTGATTGTAGTATCAGATATTAATTAGGTAATAGAGTGATTTAGATTAGCATGATTTTAGGATGTAAATTAGGTTATACTTATGTATATATTCGTACATTGTGTACTCCAAAAGAATAATAAAGAAGAGTGTTCTCTCCCTTTTTAGTTTTCACATATGATTAATATAATTTTGAAATAGCAACCAAAGAAACTCTATACAAATGTGAAAAAAAATAAAAACAAAAGGAAATTCAACAATTGGTACAACTGGAGAAGGAATGGGTTGGATGGGTTGGGGGAAGAGAGTGTAAGTGAGAGGTCCTAGACTCGAAAAAAAAAAGAAAAAAAAATTTAAAAAAAAATTGGTACAGTTTTTTATAGAAACAAAATAAATTTTATTACTAAAATTGTTGGAAATCATCCAATTCGTGCAGCTTTGTTAATACTAAATTGATTGAAATAAAAAAAGGGTGAATTACTTATAATCCTCTGGTGATTTTGTACAATGCCAGATGACCCCCATAAGGTTTTAAAATAGCCACATAATCCCTCTATGATTTTATGTAAAATGAAAAATGGATGGAATGCACAATCAATTACAGCATTTATACCAAACATGCTCTAAAAGCACATGTGGTAAAATCTTAATCTCTATTTAACCCCCTTATGATTTGTATAAATATCCACTTTACTCCTCTATGATTATTACATTTATCCATGTAATTCTCTTATGCTTTTATGCAATATAGTTAACTCGTCGATTGTTTTAGTATTTTAGTAAGGAAACTATTAATATTTCAATTAACAACATCACATAAGCTATTTTCCGTCAAGTTTCCACTTTACATGAAATCATATGGAGTAAAGTGGACTGTTTGATACGTTAAAGGGTACATGTGGTAATAGGCGAAACTACAGGGGGTTATATGTAATTTATCAAAAAAAAAAAAAGAAACAATGGCTTCAGTATTAGTTAATGTTGAACAGCATGATTTGTGGAATTGCTAACAGATTGTAGTAGTTAGTTATTCACTTTGCTATTTTTTAGGCAATAGATAAGTCAAAGTACTTGTTTTGATTTTGATTCTGAGATTTTATCTCTAGCAGATCTTTTTCCAGAGTTTTCTCTAATTCTATTTTCTTTATGCTATATAAAAGCATAGCTTGTAACTCAATAAAAAGTGACTTCTGCAATACAAAAGTTTTCATTCTTGTTCACTTTCTCTACTCTAATAAACCAATAGAGTGTTACTAGAGCTTTCATCTTGAGAGATCTGTGAGGATTGAGAGAGCTTAAACACCTTCTTTAAACATTTACCCTTATCAAAATGAATCTAGAAGTTTCCTCTACTCATCAACTTGAACCTCCCATATTTAATGGAACAAATTATCAAATGTGGACTGTCAGAATGGAAGCCTATCATAGTGGAAATGATTTGTGGGCGGATGTAGAAGATGATTATGAAGTACTTCCTCTTCCAAACAATCTAACAGTTGCTCAAATGAAACACCATAATGAGAGGAGACAAAGGAAATCGAAAGCTAGAGCAAGTCTATATGCAGCTGTCACATCCACAATCTTTACCAGAATCATGACGTTGAAAAGGGTGCATGAGACCTGGAATTTCTTGAAGAATGATTATGAAGGAGATGAAAAAATCAAAGGGATGTGAGTGTTGAACTTGGTTCGAGAATTTGAGATGCAGAAGATGAAAGGATCAGAAACTATCAAGGACTATTCTGACAGACTCCTTGACATAGTCAATAAAGTAAGACTCCTTGGTACTGATTTTTTTGATTCGAGAATAGTTCAAAAAATTCTAGTTACCATCCCTGAAAAGTTTGAGGCTACAATCGTAGCCTTGGAAAACTCAAATGATCTATCAAGTATCACCTTGGCAGAATTGCTAAATGCACTACAGGCACAAGAACAAAGAAGTCCGATAAGGCAAGAAGGTTCGGTGGAAGGTGCCTTTCAAGCCATATCACAAAACAACAACAGGGGCAAGAACAAGAAGAACAACAAAAATGTGCCTAGAAACAACAAATCTCAAGTATTTCCACTTTGCCCTTATTGCAAAAAAACCAATCATCCACAGAAAAGGTGTTGGTGGAACCCATATGTAAGATGTCACAAATGTGGTCAGTTAGGCCATGTGGAAAAGATATGCAAGTCTCAACAGCAACAAGGAGAAGCCAAGGCTGCTGAGAATCAACCTCAGTAGGAGCAATTGTTTGTAGCTTCATGTTTCGCTACTAATTGTTCCATGGAAAGCTGGCTTATAGATAGTGGTTCTACAAACCACATGATTTATGATCGAGAGCTTTTTAGAAAGCTTGATAAAATTGCTATTACTAGAGTCCGGGTTGGAAATGGAGCTTATTTTGCTGTAAAATGCATAAGAACAGTGGCAATTGAAGAGTACACGGGTTTGAAATTAATTTTTGATGTTTTATATGTTCGATAAAGCTATTATTTATGACTTATGATCAAGAGCTTTTTAGAAAACTTGATAAAACTGCTATTACTAGAGTCCGGATTGGAAATGGAGCTTATCTTGCTGTAAAAGGCATAGGAACAGTGGCAATTGAAGGGTACACAGGTTTGAAATTAATTTCTGATGTTTTCTATGTTCCAAAAATTGATCAAAACCTTTTAATTATTCCTTAGTAATTGGAAAAAGATTATAAAGTGCTATTTGAAGATAAAAGTTGCATAATTAAAGATCCAGAAGGTAGAGAAATGTTCAGAATTCAAATGAAAGGCATAAGTTTTGTGTTGGATCTGATGAAAGAGGAGCAAGCGGCTGTACACAAAGAAATTAGCGATGCCGCACTTTGGCATAAGAGATTGGGCCATTTTCATCATGCTGCTCTACTGTTCATGAAGAAAAACAATTTGGTAGAAGGTGGAGTTAGATGAAGAACTTCCTATATGTGTTGCTTGTCAATGTAGGAAGCAATCAAGACTTTCTTTTCCCCAAAATACAACTTGGAGAGCTACACATAAGCTGCAATTGATACATACAGATGTAGGAAGACCTCAAAAGACACCATCCTTGAATGGTAGTAAGTTTTATATTCTCTTCATTGATGATTACACCAGAATGTGTTAGATATATTCATGAAATTCAAATATGAGGTTGCTGACATCTTTTGAAAGTTTAAAACGTGGGTTGAAAATCAAAGCAGTTGCAGCATGCAGGTGATCAGGTCCGATAATGGAACTGAATATACCTCATAAAAATTCAACAAATTTTGTGAAGATGCAAGCATAAAGCACCAACTTATAGCCCCTTACACTCCCCAGCAAAATGGAGTGGTGGAGCGTAGAAATAGTACACTTATGGAGATGAGAAGATGCTTGTTGCATGATAAAGGGCTGCCAAAGAAATTTTGGGCAGAGGCTACGAATATAGCAATTTTTTTACAAAATAGATTGCCAACGAAAACTCTACAAAAAAAGACGCCATTTGAAGCATGGTATGGTGATAGTGATATAATTGTGCGTTTTATTCGTTAGTATTTGGTCTTAATTTTGGTCACTTATTGTACAAGACACTGGATTTCTGTCCAAATTTGGTATTTGTGTTATTGGCAGGCGAGTGGTGTTAAAAGTGACAAGAAAAGGCAAATTCCAAAAGACTAGGCATTTTATAGCATGCCCACGCTAGACAATGTAGAGCTGCATGAAAAAGACGGACCGCGGGTTCTATCCCTGGAACTACCGCCTTTCTTTAGGAACAAATTCTGAACTTGTGTGGAATAAGAAAACAAAGTCAAAGACGACTTTTGGCAGCAATTCAAGGAGGGAAATAAGGAAGCAATTCGTTTGAGAAACAACCTCTAATTCGGCTAGCTAGAGGACGGCGGCGGAGCTTTAAAAGAAAACAGGAATAGACTAGGGCTTTGTCTTTTAGCTTAGAAACTTTTGTCTTTCTTTTCTTCTTCATAACATTAGTCAGAGATTCGTGGCTTTTTACTCTTCCATCAACAAAATTCTATTCCATCGAAAAGCCTTCAATTGCTTCGTGATTTTGCGACAAGGTTAAACCCTTTTATCTAGTTGAGGAATAATCAAGGCCCGAAACATGAATAATTGTGAGATCATTTTGTTTATTCTAAACTCTGTGTTTGTGAGTATTTAATTATTCTTTGTTTGAATTGCCTGTTATTGTTTAGATTTATTGGATCAATATGGCCAGTTGTTCAATTGTCTAAATAATATACTGCCAATTAAGACAAGGGTGCGTATCACTTGATTGTCTTAAGTTAGTGGCAAATGGTACAATTTCATTGCCTCGCAAGCAGTCTAATGTGTGTCGTAGGAATAATTAACCTAGTTTAAATGAGCCCGCATGTGTGTTTGTTAATTAGAATTGAGTCTCTCTAATGTCTAAAGCTGTGATTAGATTAAATCCTTCGAGCGTCTCTGGGGTTATCTAATTTATAAGAGGGTAGTTTAAAAGCGTCTCTGAACTACCATATAATTAAGGAGAGATTGGTGGTTTGGCGGTTGTTAAATTGTTTTAACCAATTTATTTACGAACGTGTGAATTAATTCAGGTATCTATGATCAATTATGTGAACCGGTGTCGAGATTATCTCCTTGACTAGATTGTGTTAATTAATTGTTTATTATATTATTTAGCTACTATACTTTCATGCTATTAGAAATTCAGTATCTTTTGCATCTTTAATTTATCTCTTTTATCTCTCTTCCAAAAACCCCCCAATTATTTGTGTGTGATAAATCTACCGATTCCCTGAGGAGATGACCCTACTCACCACTATACTCATTCAATTTTGGTAGTAGGTTTAATA